AAATCAAGAAATTATTATTTCGAAAGATAAATATCTTCAATGCTCAGTTTAACACTTTTACGTGATAAAAGCTCATTGTCTAAAACTTACGAAACGCAGACGTATTCAGAAAGAGTATTGACAGAGGTCGCCGCCAGAACAAAAGCAGTTTCCTTGCCTGTCTGACCGCTGGTGGTCTGACATCTTATCACCGCTGAACAATAAATAGGTGTGAATATTTTTTGGCATGTTGTCGAAACAAATGAATAGGATTAGGAACAATGCCGTTTTGGAACAGCTGGTGAAACAATGAAGTCAGTCACGGTCTTGTTGAATTGGGGGTGCGGTTAGTAATAGGTACTTTTGAAGTTTTCAATTTTTGTTAAGAACTCTTTAACCCCGAAGCCGAAATTGGGGGTGCGGTTACTATTACGTATGCGGTTTATATTAGGACTTTAACGGTAGTAACATTGCAATTGTCACTGATAGCATGGTGGTAGACTTAAGTTCAAATCCTACCTTAGGCTGAACATCAAAGGGTCGACCCCGACCCTGGGTGAGTGTACCACAGACTCAATGGGAAGGCCAATTCCACTGGCCGAGATTCATTCATTAACGAATGCGACTTTGGGGAACCTTGGTTAAGGTCCGAAGGTGCTTGTGTTCGACCGAGCCTGGTTGACACCAGGATAGCACATTAAAATTGCCATTCGATAGAGAGATAGCCACACAGCCCTGTCATGTAGTCTCAAAACATGAATATGACTTCATGTGTCAGCACTAGCACTTGCAATTTGCACTTACAAAAAAAAAGTCAGGTGAGACAACAGTGACATTCAATGTCCGGAACTGTTGCCCAGCACAAAAAACATTTAAAAAAACAAACACATTTGTAATTGTTGATGACAATGATACTTTTATGAAAAGCCACCCTAATAGCCAGCTTGGATGTTAAGTCCGTCTTTCCTGCCTCGATGTACTGTACATACACTGAGTGTCTAATGAGAAGACACAGACACGAAAGTGCTCATAATGCGGGGTTGTACATGTATAGGGGTTTTTCTCAAAAAAATACAGCACACAGAGGCGATCAACCTGAAAAGGTCATATCGGAAGGTTTCTGTGTCGTTTTAACGGTGTAATTATCACCATTGAAATAATTTTGGAATAATTTTAGTCATTACATTGTCAGCTGGTGTTGCTGGGAAGTTTTCATGGAGAAGAATATATTTGGGAAAGATTTCATGTTGTACGGCAGCACAGAAGTGTGCGGCTCAAGAAATATATTCATGACTTGAAAGTTCAATTGGCAATTTGGTAAGAGGGTGCCAACCGAGAGTATCAGGGCACTGCGCCCCTGTTCCCTGGTTTATAAAAACCCTGTTTGTGGAACATGGCTTACGAGGAGAAGGCGATACTGTACGCATTGATAATGCAGTAATTTTTAATGGTGTTTGTATTTTTGTTTTCAGGTTATGTCGCCCCCTGGAGTGGACGATTCTATTCACTTTACGACACTGGGTAAGTTGACATAAACATTACGTCACTAAGTTATTTTTTGTTCATTGCAAGATCCTGCAAAATTTGTGAAAAGTGCAGCCTGCAAAAACAGAATGAAGGGACTTTGTGGGTGTTTAAGTGGGAAATTTATTTTCCTTGATTTTTGATGGGTTGAATTTTAAATGTAGGAAAAAAGGTATATTCACTGGATTTCATTTTTACTGAAGCATTTCGTCAACCAAAATAAAATTGTAAGTTCACTATTTTTCAATTAGATTGTTACTGAGGTCAGGAAAATTAGACGACAAGAACAATGCTACTTGAATGCCAAAAAACAAGTCCTAAGCCATTAGCAACTTCGCTATATTTCTAACCCGAAAATTTTCTCTCACAAAATCAAAACAGTTATTTCTGGTTGAATGAATTTTTTATGATGATTTTTTGCAGGTATGCTAAGATTCACATTCCTATTATAGCGTCTGTATCCGAACATCAACCGACAACGTGGGTGTCGTTTTTCTTTGACCTTCACATACTAATATGTGCGTTCCCCGCTGGATTGTGGTTTGTTATTAAAAATATCAACAACGAGAGAGTTTTCAGTAAGTATTTTTCTAGAAATAGTTTTTTTTACATACATGTTAATCTCTTTGAACACATTGCTGGCTGGTATGCTCTCTAAAAAAGATTGTTGAATTTTTTGAATTTTTGAATTTTGAATTTTTTGAATTGTTGAATTTTTTTTTGTCTAATACAGTGACTTGTGACTTTTGTGAGCCAAAAAGGTTAAATAGAAATGTTGGGGAGTCAATTTGGGCTTCAACTATGCGTAGCAGCATTTCAAACTGTACGGCAACATTCCTCGTTCGATTTGTCAAGCAAGAGGGAGAGTATGATAGTTAGATGTGCTCCCTTTCAACAATTAGTCATTTTTAAAGGAGCCGAGGTGCCTTATTCCTGCCTTATTTTCACAATTACGATGTAATATGTTACCAAGAGAAAGTATATTTTTTTTTCTATGAATTAATTATTTCTATGGCGACAAATCTAACTATGTTTGGTTGCATAATGTTCAATATTTTGCCTCAAATGTCTAGAGAGCTCACTGTTGACAACAATTTTTTCGGCAAAAATTTTGAGTCAACAGGAAAAGTGAATTAATTTTTTTTCTTCTAGTTGTGTTATATGCTATCAGTGCTGTCTACTTTGCTGGTGTGATGGTACGTCTTATGCTGACGCTGACTCCTGTTGTGGTCGTCTTAGCGGCAATCGCATTTTCAAAAACATTAGACCATTATCTCCTTGACGATACTCCCAAAAAAGAAAGTGATGAAGATAGCGCTGACGAGGATGAAGAGGATGACACTGAGAGGAGAAACAGGAAAAATCTTTACGATAAGGTAAATTTGGCCATTCCAGTTGTTTTCAGCATTTTCTGGTTTTCTAATACATTGAATACACTGAGAACTCGTATTGCAGGGATTTTTCTGTCATTTGCACTTTTATAATAAATAGATTGCGTTCTGGTGGTGGACTTTCAAATTTGCAAAATTATATAATTATACCATTTTTCAAATTAACAGTTTAAAGGCTGCTAATAAAATGCATGTGGGCGATGTACTGATGATTTACGATGTGTATGTATTTCAGGCTGGAAAAATACGCAAGATAAAGTCTAGTCCAGCTGAGGACAGCGAAGGCCTTGGTACGAATCTGAAGGGTATTGTTGTCATGGCGATAATAATGATGTTGATGATGTTTGCAGTGCATTGCACGTGGGTCACAAGTAATGCATATTCCAGTCCTAGTATCGTATTGGCATCGTATAACAATGACGGGTAAGTGAACTTTATCACGTGTATAACGTGCATATATCCACTGTGTACATGACACATCAGAAATGCATATTACATAGTTTGCCATCATAGTGTTGAACTTTTTTAGCTCCGCTGTCATCTTTGTCGAGCGGAGCTTATCATATGAGTGATTGTCCGTCGTCGTCCGTGTCAATGTTTTACTTTTTCGACTTCTTCTTAAAAACTACAAGCTCTATCATGCCAAATTGTTGAATATATGTGAATCTCATGCACAGACAAAAACTGACATTGATGGGGATGCTTTGGGTGCACTGATTGAGTCACAACCTGATGGTCATGATATAGAGGGGCCGAAACACGGGTACACTGACATTGAGAATGTGTGCTGAGCTAAAAGTTAACTAAAATCGGCAAAAATTATATTTTACGATTCGGACACAGCTCATAATCGATGAATGAGTAAATCATTTTTTAGCTCCACTGTCGACTTTGTCATATGAGTGATTGTCCGTCATCCGCCGCCGTCGTCCGTTGTCTGTGTCATTGTTTTACTTTTTTGACTTATATTTGAAA